GGCATGGGATACGACCCTCCTCCTGTCATTTTGCTGCCGACGCTGGGGCGAGCAAGCAACTACAGCTGGTGGAAGGGGCTGGCGTCGCGACATTCCAGCCCCCCCCCCTCATCCAACACCTTTGGGCGTAAACATAGAAAACAACTAAGATTCACGGCTAGGCGGCTATGATCTGGCTTTTAAACAGAGCTTGTCGAATAAGGTGGGGTGTTCGTGACACTGGTCCATTTAATTTTACGACTGAATTACTGTGACTTAATATACCATTTTCACTTTAAATCGGACACTTTTCAAACCAAATCGGACACTTTTCAAACCAAATCGGACACTTTTCAAATCAAATCGGACACTTTTCAAATCAAATCGGACACACCCCTTACAGTTGAGAACTAGACCACACTAGGTACTGCTGCAAGCCCCGCCAACTTCTTAGCGCGGCCGTGGTTTTCCAAATGTTTTATGAATTCTGCTTCTTCGAATTTTTTTCACTTTTGCTACTTGACACACATTCAACTGAATAGGTTTGCTACCGACACATATATGACTCCGCCCACTTCACAATGAAGTGACGTAAGTTCTGAATTTTTATAACTTTTTTCGACGTTGTTTTTTTCACATTCAATCTTCACAGAACGAATATAGTCATGCTTTCACACACTAGCACACAAGCCCCGCCCCTGACCACGCCCACTTTCGTTTTCGCGGAATTTTGATTTTTCTTCCGAATTTTCACATTTTCAGAGGGTAAACTGACTCCGCCCACTAATGGAAGCTCCGCCCACTTTGTAGAAGCCCCGCCCACTTTTCAAAAATGATGCAGATCGGCGAGCTAGTGACCGTACTAGCAGGTTATGGCCTCTCCCGTCACATAGAATGAAAAAAAGGGAAAGACCAGAAAAAAAGGGAAACTTTGTTCCGGGTGACGGGAGGGCTTCTACAAAGTGGGCGGAGCTTCCATTAGTGGGCGGGGCCGCTTGTCACAGCCTAAAAAAGTGAAAATTCGGAAGAAAAATCAAAATTCCGCGAAAAACGAAAGTGGGCGTGGTCAGAGGGGCGGGGCTAGTGTGCTAGTGTGTAAATGCATGACTATATTCGTTCTGTGAAGATTGAATGTGAAAAAAAAACAACGTCGAAAAAAGTTATAAAAATTCAGAACTTACGTCACTTCATTGTGAAGTGGGCGGAGTCATATATGTGTCGGTAGCAAACCTATTCAGTTGAATGTGTGTGTCAAGTAGCAAAAGTGAAAAAAATTCGAAGAAGCAGAATTCATAAAACATTTGGAAAACCACGGCCGCGCTAAGAAGTGGGCGGGGCTTGCAGCAGTACCTAGTAAGTAAGTAAGTAAGTAAATATCACCTTGGCTCCGCCCAAAACCGCATAGCGCTCGCGCCAGAACACTCTGATTCATCAGACTCGCTAGAAACCTGTCCCCACGGTTAGTTCTGATCACGAATATCACATTTGCATAAGGGTCAGAAGAGTTAAGCACGGAGAAAAGGGCGGGAGTACACGTGATGGCGCCGTCCGTGCCTGTTCGCCTGCACGCTTCCCTCGAAATAGGCCTAAGCAAGGAGAAAAACTTACTGCTTGAATCGAACAACGTAGATATGATCCCTTTGCGCTCGTAGGTCGTATCCAACAGCCTTAGGCGGCAATCGTTCGCGCACGGAACGCGTGATTCTGCTCCTCACGCGCAGGGAACACCTTAGGCACGTGTGGTCTTGTTACCTACAATGGGGGCGCCAGGCGGTATCGAGTCAAGCGGATATGACATTCGTGTTCAAGAAGTCCAACTACCCCTGGAGACCATTTCCGCCAAACCCGCTGGCCGGAGAGAAGTCAGTAAAATACTGGCCTGATTTCGGAAGAACGAGCAGTGAAGAGCTTTCTAGAATGCCTGGGAACCGGAGGGAATGAACCACCATTTCGTCGCTGAAGCGCTAAGCAGCACATCATTTCGCATGATCATACACGATCAGCTTTATCGCAAACCCAGTGAATGAATGATTCTTCTGATAACAATAATGATTACGAGCCGTATAAAAGGGCTCAACCATGGTATGCATCATTTCGTCCTCTCTACTGAAGAATGTTTGTTCTGGTAGTGCTGTCCACTGTAGTCTTCTTTGCTCAGGGCGACTTGCCCTACAATGGAGGAGGTGAGCAGCAGTGCAGTGGTCGGGAAAGGCAAGAAATGGGAGAACCGATGGACAAAGGTTAGTTTTCGTGATGCCAAGTCACATGTGTAACTGCAGTTCTCATGTTGCAGGGGCTGTTGCGGAGCAGTTCGCCAAGGCTTACATCGGCATGACTTTAGCTGAGATAAGGAATAATGCTCAAGTTCAACCGGTACGAGACCCACCCAGCAGCAGGTTGAGAGCAGCGAAGCGTTGCCTCGCCTCAATACTTGCCGAACTCTTATCTGACCTCCCATGTCTTAGCTGTTATGTGTCAATGCTTCTTGTGATAACAGTTTTTCAGTGTTTTAATCCCAGCATTTGTGCTCAGCAATGGTCGCGCCTCGGCATCAAGCATTTGAGAGAGGAATATTCTCCGTTATCGCGCAAACAGTCTCGATGAAAGGGCTCTTTTTTTACAAGAGGTCCTCAAGTTGCTCCTATCTTTGGCTTTTTCCCGAGAACCGATGTCATCTCGCCAATCGAAATTCTGCTTTTTAAGATGTTCAATGAACTAACGTACATCAAGCCAACCGCCTATTCGCGAGGATATTCGGACGCAGAAAAGTTATATTGGAAGTGAGCCACCTCTTTCTTGTTGTTATTGCACATGACATTCGACCATGTCGTGAAAACATTCCCGTGATTTCAGTTTGGAAGAAATATGGCGACAAGTGCCCTTCAGAGACAGGGAGGATTACCGTCGAAAGTTTTGCGCTTTCAGAATCCTCGATGAGAATGTACCACTACGGTATTCACCTAATCAAGAACATGTGCATTAAATAAAATTTGTTTTCTATTATCTGTTTGCGAAATGAGCCACGGATTCGACACTGGCGCTCGACAGCAACTCACGCCGCAATGGCACATCCGGTGTGAACAATGGAAACGTATAAAGTTTTGATCAGAAAAAGGAAACCTGCTCAGTTTGAGTGGAAGTTGATCCAAGTTCTTATCTGCTATCTTACTCCGACGATTGCCACAATGAGCCTCACCGCTCGAAGCTGAGAGGCTCCGTTTGGGACAGAAAGTGGCTCACCAGCTGCTCAACCGAGCCGAGTCGGAAAGACTCCCATCATGACACGTTCAAAAAGGTGTCACTCGCTGCTCGTGATACCCGAAATATTGTAGTGTATAGTCTAATGCACATGCGAGGCAATAGGACTTACAGCCCCTAGGAGCAGGAGAGGAGCGGAGTGCTCCACACTGGATATTCCCCTACAGGCGCGTAAGAAATCTCAGTGAGGCTTCGCGACTGAGGAACAGTCAGGATGAACTCGGCGCTGTTCCAAATGTACCTGTGCTTTCGTATCCTTCCCTATTCTTGGGATACCACCAATCTCTCCCCCTTTCCCCTTAATAATGACCAAATGCCAACGACGGTTCTTATCACACCTCTAGAAACGTTCATCATTCGGCCGAAGCTTCCAAACATGTTCAGCGGTCGAAAACCTTCCAATGATAGCACTATCAAAATGAGGATGAAGGTGTTTCAACTCTGATAAAGCCATGCACTTCCACCTGCTGATTTCCTGCTAACTCTTGTCACTCTTGTCATCCGTTGTCATCCCCCGTTACCGCTTCCTATCTATCACCAATATTGTTTCCATCCTGCCCATCTCTTCCTAGAACCAGTCTTCTATTAGGTCGTCCCATTCAAAAGTGCCGTCGGTTTTATTCGAACAAAACAAAGAGGAGAATAGATAAAAAGTAATATTTTGGCTTCAAGTTAAGTAAATCCCTCCTTCACCAATGACCCGCTCCCAGTGCCCCGAAAGCCTTTGGATGGTACCTTCGATTTTTCAACAAGTGCGAGTAAATTGCTGTTGATGCCAATTTCGGCGAATGACAAAACATTGTAGCGTTTGCCGTCGGAGAGTACCCTCGACTGACCAGAACAGTTGGAATCGAACGGCTTTATGTTGGGCGAATGGGGCGATTGAACCCAGGTCTCAGTATTGTTTGTGTCCCAGCACTGCCCTACAATACAGTTACTCGGGGTCTGGCACTATGACGAGCAACGGTGGCCTTCTTGTAGTTGTGTGGTATCATCCATTTGTCGATCTGATTGCCGAGGAACAGGCAATATACACCGACAGCGACGATTTTATTCTCTGTATAGAGCCGCCTGAAAGCCACAGTGTGGGAATCCTTCGCTATGATGATCATCCACTTGCGCCCACGTAACTCCTCATGGTAGAACTCGGGCGGCTTCTCATCTGCATTCATACAAAATTGACGATTGTGAGTTTTGGCTCGAGGTCCAAGACCACCCATATTTCATCTAGGGCCGGGGTGCGTTTTCACAGTCGTGAATGACATCTCATGCTGAGAACATTACTGCTAGAGGCATAGAATCGGTACTGCGTTCGTGCTTCTACAAGAAAATTAGGTACCCATGCGCACACCCTCTTGACCATCCTCAGTTTATCGGACATAACTCGGGCAGCAGTTGCAGCAGGGATGTCAGTCTCGCGGGGAAGCTCGACAAAGGTCCAGGCTCTGTGATCAGACATTCAGCGCTTGACTTCATCCACCTTTTTCTTGTGCAGGATGAACATTATGGGACCATTCACG